GGTAGATAACCTAGCATACCAAGAATTCCAAGAGATCAGATAACCTAGCATACTAAGAATTCCAAGAGATTAGATAACCTACCATACTCAGAATTCCAAGAGATCAGACTAAGAATTCCATAACCTAGCACACTAAGAATTCCAAGAGATCAGATAACCTAGCATACTAAGAATTCCAAGAGATCAGACTAAGAATTCCAAGAGATCAGATAACCTAGCATACTAAGAATTCCAAGAGATCAGACTAAGAATTCCAAGAGATCAGATAACCTAGCATACTAAGAATTCCAAGAGATCAGATAACCTAGCATACTAAGTATTCCAAGAGATCTGACTAAGAATACTAAGAGATCAAGTAACCTAGCATACTAAGAATTCCAAGAGATCAGATAACCTATCATACTAAGAATTCCAAGAGATCAGATAACCTATCATAACCTAGCATACTAAGAATTCCAAGAGATCAAATAACCTATCATAACCTAACATACTAAGAATTCCAAGAGATTAGATAACCTATCATACTAAGAATTCTAAGAGATTAGATAACCTATCATACTAAGATTCCAAGAGAACAGACTAAGAATTCCAAGAGATCAGATAACCTATCATAACCATAACCTAGCATACTAAGAATTCCAAGAAGAGATCAGATAACCTATCATACTAAGAATTCCAAACCTATGATACTAAGAATTCCAAACCTATGATACTAAGAATTCTAAGAGATCAAATAACCTAGCATACTAAGAATTTCAAGAGATCAGATAACCTATCATACTAAGAATTCCAAGAGAATAGATAATCTATCATACTAAGAATTCCAAGAGATTAAATAACCTATCATACTAAGAATTCCAAGAGATCAGATAACCTATCATAACCTAGCATACTAAGAATTCCAAGAAGAGATCAGATAACCTGTCATAACCTAGCATACTAAGAATTCCAAGAGATAAGATCAGATAACCTATCATAACCTAATATACTACTAAGAATTCCAAGAAGAGATCAGATAACCTATCATAACCTAGCATGCTAAGAATTCCAAGAAGAGATCAGATAACCTGTCATAACCTAGCATACTAAGAATTCCAAGAGATAAGATCAGATAATCTATCATAACCTAATATACTACTAAGAATTCCAAGAAGAGATCAGATAACCTATCATAACCTAGCATACTAAGAATTCCAAGAAATCAGATAACCTAGCATACTAAGAATTCCAAGAGATCAGATAACCTATCATAACCTAGCATACTAAGAATTCCAAGAGATCAAATACCAAGAGAGAGAACAGACTAAGAATATCATACTAAGATTCCAAGAGATCAGACTAAGAATATCATACTAAGAATTCCAAGAGAAGAGATCAGATAACCTATCGATAACCTATCATACTAGAATTCCAAGAGAACTGACTAAGAGAATTACAAGAGATCAGATAACCTATCGATAACCTATCATACTAGAATTCCAAGAGAACAGACTAAGAGAATTACAAGAGATCAGATAACCTATCGATAACCTATCATACTAGAATTCCAAGAGAACAGAATTACAAGAGATCAGATAACATTCCAAAGAGAACAGACTAAGAGAATTACAAGAGAACAGACTAAGAGAATTACAAGAGATCAGATAACATTCCAAAGAGAACAGACTAAGAGAATTACAAGAGATCAGATAACATTCCAAAGAGAACAGACTAAGAGAATTACAAGAGATCAGATAACATTCCAAAGAGAACAGACTAAGAGAATTACAAGAGATCAGATAACATTCCAAAGAGAACAGACTAAGAGAATTACAAGAGATCAGATAACATTCCAAAGAGAACAGACTAAGAGAATTACAAGAGATCAGATAACATTCCAAAGAGAACAGACTAAGAGAATTACAAGAGATCAGATAACATTCCAAAGAGAACAGACTAAGAGAATTACAAGAGATCAGATAACATTCCAAAGAGAACAGACTAAGAGAATTACAAGAGATCAGATAACATTCCAAAGAGAACAGACTAAGAGAATTACAAGAGATCAGATAACATTCCAAAGAGAACAGACTAAGAGAATTACAAGAGATCAGATAACATTCCAAAGAGAACAGACTAAGAGAATTACAAGAGATCAGATAACATTCCAAAGAGAACAGACTAAGAGAATTACAAGAGATCAGATAACATTCCAAAGAGAACAGACTAAGAGAATTACAAGAGATCAGATAACATTCCAAAGAGAACAGACTAAGAGAATTACAAGAGATCAGATAACATTCCAAAGAGAACAGACTAAGAGAATTACAAGAGATCAGATAACATTCCAAAGAGAACAGACTAAGAGAATTACAAGAGATCAGATAACATTCCAAAGAGAACAGACTAAGAGAATTACAAGAGATCAGATAACATTCCAAAGAGAACAGACTAAGAGAATTACAAGAGATCAGATAACATTCCAAAGAGAACAGACTAAGAGAATTACAAGAGATCAGATAACATTCCAAAGAGAACAGACTAAGAGAATTACAAGAGATCAGATAACATTCCAAAGAGAACAGACTAAGAGAATTACAAGAGATCAGATAACATTCCAAAGAGAACAGACTAAGAGAATTACAAGAGATCAGATAACATTCCAAAGAGAACAGACTAAGAGAATTACAAGAGATCAGATAACATTCCAAAGAGAACAGACTAAGAGAATTACAAGAGATCAGATAACATTCCAAAGAGAACAGACTAAGAGAATTACAAGAGATCAGATAACATTCCAAAGAGAACAGACTAAGAGAATTACAAGAGATCAGATAACATTCCAAAGAGAACAGACTAAGAGAATTACAAGAGATCAGATAACATTCCAAAGAGAACAGACTAAGAGAATTACAAGAGATCAGATAACATTCCAAAGAGAACAGACTAAGAGAATTACAAGAGATCAGATAACATTCCAAAGAGAACAGACTAAGAGAATTACAAGAGATCAGATAACATTCCAAAGAGAACAGACTAAGAGAATTACAAGAGATCAGATAACATTCCAAAGAGAACAGACTAAGAGAATTACAAGAGATCAGATAACATTCCAAAGAGAACAGACTAAGAGAATTACAAGAGATCAGATAACATTCCAAAGAGAACAGACTAAGAGAATTACAAGAGATCAGATAACATTCCAAAGAGAACAGACTAAGAGAATTACAAGAGATCAGATAACATTCCAAAGAGAACAGACTAAGAGAATTACAAGAGATCAGATAACATTCCAAAGAGAACAGACTAAGAGAATTACAAGAGATCAGATAACATTCCAAAGAGAACAGACTAAGAGAATTACAAGAGATCAGATAACATTCCAAAGAGAACAGACTAAGAGAATTACAAGAGATCAGATAACATTCCAAAGAGAACAGACTAAGAGAATTACAAGAGATCAGATAACATTCCAAAGAGAACAGACTAAGAGAATTACAAGAGATCAGATAACATTCCAAAGAGAACAGACTAAGAGAATTACAAGAGATCAGATAACATTCCAAAGAGAACAGACTAAGAGAATTACAAGAGATCAGATAACATTCCAAAGAGAACAGACTAAGAGAATTACAAGAGATCAGATAACATTCCAAAGAGAACAGACTAAGAGAATTACAAGAGATCAGATAACCTATCATACTACCTATCATACTAGAATTCTAAGAGAACAGACTAAGAGAATTACAAGAGATCAGATAACCTATCATACTAAGAATTCCAAGAGAACCTTGCATACTAAGAATTCCAAGCTCTGATACCATGTTAGGAACCACGACTCTCTATAATGGTATGATATTGTCCACTTTGAGCATAAGCTCTCATGGCTTTGTTTTGGGCTTCCCCAAAAGGCCTCATACCAATGGAGATAGTATTCCTCACTTATAAAACCATGATCTTCCACTAAATTAACCAATATGGGACTCACACCCAATAATCCTCAACAATCCTCCCCTCGAGCAAAGTACACTATAAGCCTCCCCTGAGGCTGGAGCTCTTGAATAGTCTCCCCTTAATCGAGGCTCGACTCATTTTTTCTGGAGCCCTCGAATAAAGTACACCCTTTGTTCGACACTTTAGTCACTTTTGACTACACCTTCGAGGCTCACAATTCTTTGTTCGATATTTGAGGATTTTATTGACATGGCTAAGTTTAGGGCATGGCTCTTATACCAAATTGTTAAACACAACTCTCTAGGAAATGCTCGCACTCTTTATTAAGACCAACCGAGAAGAGAATGCAAGACACTCAGAATAATATATTTTTTATTGTTTTTGGATTTCTTGGATGAAAACCTACGGTGGTGGGGTATACGTGAGCCTACTCAATTTAGACCTAACAAATCTAAATTTTTTTTCCTAAAATATCTAGAACTCTCTCCTAATTCCTAAAATATCTAGAACTCTCTCCTAATTCCTAAAATCTCTGCAGTACAATTATTGGGCTTGACTCGATTGAACTAAAATAAATATACCATGAGCTCGTACAATTATTGAGCTTGACTCTATTGGGCTAGTGATATATTTCAACAGAATATAATCCTGTCCCCCATCCTATTTATTTAACATGAAAAAATGTCCCTCATTCCAAGTCTAAATGGTGAATCCTCTCCCACTTCAGGTCCTGCAGATAAAATAGACATCTCTAGAAGGTACATTATGACCACCTCTAATAGATTGGGAAGGAGTCCTGATAAAATTGAATATTAGGGTTGTAACAGCCCGTTCTTTGATATTTCGAATCATGGACAGTCACATATAGACCAAGATTATAGACTCCTTTTACAAAACAAGCTTTAAAATACAAAGGAAACGACCATACACGATGTAGCAATGATCCTATAGTCGTGTAGCTCTAATACGTTCCCGCTATCGACTTTATAGATCTTGTTGTTTGGTCCTTACAATTTTTTTTATAAAAGAAAATAAAAATCTTCATTTTTTCCAAATTACTTTTGGCATTTAAACAACTCAAAATCTATGCACTTGGCAAACAAATTCAAGGGCTCCAAGTTCTCCTTCCCCTTGGTGATCCGACCCTAATTCGCTTTAGCCGCTGTATTTCTGTCAATTCTTTCCAATTTCTAGAGGTTTTTCTTCTCCCTTTTCCCAGGTGCGAATTAAAGCTATCTATTCCATGAACTCGATTTCCTTGCTTCTTGATTTTTTCATTCTCTGAACTGGGTTTCTTGATTTGAACTCGCGGTACTTCATTTCTCTTGATTTCCCGAGAAATTTCGTGTTCTGTTTCACTCTCTGTGATTGAAAATCTATTGCACATAAGATGTTTGATAAAATTCCCTTGAACCGATGCTCAGATTTTGCTTAGGAGGTTTTGGTTATTGAATGAGCTTATCGCGCCTCAATTTGCAGGACTTTCTGTGTTTTTCATATTTCCAAAGCTTCGTTTCATCTTCCGAGTAAACAGTTTTTATGTGTTTTTCCAGTGGAGGTGGAAGCGAACTAGTTGTGCAGAAAAAATGTTGCCGCAACGGATGAAGACGGCCATTACAGATAACCCGAAGAAGCTTGCTAACTTGATTGATCTCGTAAACCTTCCTTCAACTCTCAGGGAGTTTGTGGGACAGTCCCAAATTTCTCGTCTGGGCTGTTTCAAGTATGTGTGGTCATATATCAAAACCAATAATCTTCAGGTTCTATTCTTTGTCTAATTTTTATGGCCTTTTTTTTTTATTATTAGTTTTAGATGCATTTTGATTATACTGCTATCAACCTATAACAGAGACTTCCCTTGTTAAATCTACTTTCAAAAATAGTTTTCATAGATTCTATATTGTATTCTGGTTGAAGTATGGCTTAAAATGGGCAAGAGGCTAAGGAACGAAACGAAAAGAGTAATCAAAGAGGAGAAGAAAGGTCATGAATCTGAATAATCAGGATGATAAAGAATATCTTGAAATGAAAGTTATGAGAACCTGATGGAGGGTCAAGATCCTTGGAACGTCCCTAGGTTTGAATAATCAAATACGTGACGGTCCTTGAAACGTTGCATCACGTATACCTTGAAACTAGATTATGAGAACCTGATGTACAGGACATAATCTAGGTTCTCAAGTATACGTGACAGTTCTTGGTCCTTGGAACGTCCCTAGGTTTGAATAATCAAATATGTGACAGTCCTTGGAACGTCACGCCACGTCATGTATACTTTGAAACTAGATTATGAGAACCTGATGTACATGACATAATCTAGGTTCTTAAGTATACGCACGTCACATATACTTTGAAACTGTATAGAAGAGCTACAAGATAACTCAAGTATTCGAGGTACTTGGAACGTTCCTAGATTTGAATATACACACTCGAGCCTAAACCATCTGAACAGTTCTCTACCTTCATCGTTTACCACTCACTGGATTTGTAACAAATCCCCCCAACAATTCACCCAAACAATATTAACTACTCCCGTGGGATTCTTATCAAAGAAGAGATCCCAAACGAATTGGCTTCTTCGAAAAAAACCTTGTTCGTTGGAAGATCTATCTCGTGCCTGGTACTGTATGGTTCCACTCTAGAAGAACTCCGAATCAATCTCTTGAAGCTCATCCTCTTAAAAGCCCCAAGGGCACCATATTCTAGGAGCTCAAACGATGTGATTGAATAAATCCTCCTTTATCTGTTGCAGGTCGAGGACTCCTTCTCCTTCCCCTTCTTCAAACTCCGATTCATATTGTTCAATCAGAGGGTCACAGAAGGAATGTGATCTTTGATTTATTACCCCAGGGAAGACATAACTAGGTCATAGGCAACATAGAGGAGCTCATAACCCACCACATGAACCCATCTTTCAAGCTTTACTGACTCGATGCTAATACCAACCAACAAAAATTTCGTCTTACTTTACCTATCAAGTTCTATTTAGGCCCACAAAGGACTCCATTAAGCATAAGGAAATAGTATTATAAACTGTAAATGAGTAAGATGGGTGATTTTTTCTCTCTCCCAACAAACATTCCTTCTGCTAACCTTTATCCATGCCTCTCAAAATAAGTCTGTTAAGCACATCCACGAGCACCCCAAAAGAGAATGATGCTTAGAATGATGCTTGATTTTACAAACGAGGAATACATCTCTATCGGTACAAGACCTTTTGGGAGAAACCAAAAGCAAAGCCGCAAAGCCGCGAGAGCTTATGCTCAAAGTGGACAATATCATACCATTGTGAAGAGTCGTGGTTCCTAACATTTGCATTACACGTTATTATTGTTCCATGGTCATGTATTATGATTTTGGGAAGCTAGAAGTACTTGAAACTTGAATGAAGTAGCACTTCTTTTTCTAAATGTTAAAAATATGTTTCTTGGTATGTATCTTTCTTGTCCAGGATCCAACCAACAAGAATGTGGTCATTTGTGATGAGAAGTTAAAGAGTATATTGCTAGGCAAGTCCAAGATTGAGCTAGCCGAACTTCCCGCGCTGATTAAATTACATTTTCCAAAGAACCCCAAGTGAGTTACGCTTGCAGTTTAACCTCTGCCACATCCAGAATGACCTCTTCAATGTTTAGCCTCAATTTTGTATGAATCTCCTTCTAGGTTTCTTTTATATATATGACTCTTCTTGTACCTCATGCCTTATGCTTTGTTATACGTTTTATGCTTTGTTATACGTTTTATTTTATCAAGTTGTAACAACTCAAGTCCACTGCTAGCAAATATTGTCCTCTTTGGATTTTTCCTTCTGGGCATCCCTTCAAAGTTTTAAAATGTGTCTACTAGAAAGATGTTTCTACACCCTTATAAGAAATGTTTCCTTCCTTACATAAGTTCTCGCACTTTGTTCTCAAGTAACCTAGAAGTTTTAGGAACTTTTATACAAATATGATGAATCTTGATTCAAAGCTCTTATCGTAAGAAAATGGAAGAGTCTATAAAGTGAATGATGTGAAAAATAATGAAATAACTTGATCTTTTAGGTTCCTACTTCACCTCGACAGTTATGTCACGATGTCCTTAAAGCCTATATGCGATGGATAGGCTCCTTTAACCATGAATTAACATAATTTCATTTCTTTCTAAAAGAAAAAGTAATGGTTAATTACACAAAAAAAATTCGTTTGTTTTACTGAATCGACCCTAAACCAATTCCCCTTTTATTTGGATGAAGCCTTTAAGAGGTTTAGGTCGGACCTGGGTTGTCTCCTGTTGAAATCAGCTTTTTTTCTTTTTTTTCTTTTTTTTTTTTTTTTTTTTTTTTTTTTTTTTTTTTTTTTTTTCTTACATACAAGCATCGCCTACAAATTCAAATGGACAGAATTTCTTCAGTATTGAACCAAATTAAGCGTATAATATCTTCACGGTCATATAAATTTTATTTGTTCAATACTTCTACAGGAAGGAAAAAAAGACAAGAGTTTAGGTTTATTTATCTTCACCATAACAAAAACCTGATAATGTACATGATGTTACAAGATATCACAATCTCAAACAGAGAAATGGGAATTCAAAGATCCACATGCAAAGTCGAAGCATCTCGATCAGAATTAAGGTTGAGATGTAACAAATCGGGGCCGACCTTTCCAAAAAATCTGGATAGAACGAGTCGTGCAATGTTCTCAGCTGCAACAGCACTGGTCTCCATGGTACTGGCTGCATTCTCAAAAGCATTCACATAGTACAAATGCCGACCATCCAAAATAAAAGGTGCGAATACTTCAGGAGCTTTGAAGTGGGGATATGCAGCCCAATCTATCCGAATGGTCTCCTTTCTTACACTAACAACCAACAAGTAATGTGAGAAGGCAATCACACATGATAGGAAGAAGAATGGTATGAAAATTTCTAGTCTAAACTACATATTTAGTTCGGAATTTCGGTTTTTAAGCTTTAAAAAGTGTCTAATAGGTCTAAAAACTATTAATTTGGATAGTTCTAAAATTTAACCTATTAGATACCAACTTAAAATTTTAAAACCTTATAATTTAACTAAATTTCCAATAAGAATAGACTTAAAATCTGGCTGGCTTTAGAGAAGAGCCTCCTTAGTGTACAGCTTACGGGAAAAGGTTAAAAGTTCCTCAAGGGCGGCTCTCTTCCACTAATAAGCTAACTCCATGTTCATTTCCGATTCCCAAAATGAGGCGTTTCTTCTTTCTACCATGTGCATAAGAATGAAAGATGGAACTTTGGTTGACATCTTTTATAACATTGTATCGGAAACATTGATGGCCCTCAAGCAATATAATATAAACTTCAAATCTCACAAATTTGAAGAGAAGCCTATTTTGTTACAAAATCTAAGAATATAGAGGGAGGAACATTATTGTTCGGTTGAATATCTTAACTTTCGAGCATAGCTCAGTCATTGAGACACTTATATTTTCAAGGTTAAAAGCTCAAATCTCCATATTCATGTTTGTTGAACTAGAAGAAAGGACGATGACTTTAATATTATATACCCAACTCTAAAAGATAGTCAAGAAGCTAAAATAATATACACATGTACGTGTTTGTATGCTTGTGTATGTATATATATACACAGACGTACATGCATACATACCATTCATGTATCTAATTAAAAAAATATTAAAAATGACATGCACACATATAATTCATGCTTCTAATCAACTAAATTGCATGTACTTTGAATTACATGGTCCATTGTGAGATCCCAAGTCGGTTGGAGAGAGGAACGAAACATTCTCTAAGGTACGGAAACCTCTCCCTAGCAGACCCATTTTAAAAGGGAAAGCCCAAAAAGGACAATATCTGCTAGCGGTGACCTTGGACTGTTACAAATGGTATGAGAGCCAGACACCAGGCGATGTGCCAGTGAAGAGGTTGAGCCCCGAAGGGGATGGACACGAGGCGGTGTGCCAGCAAGGGCGCTAGGCCCCGAATGGGGTGGATTGGGGGGTCCCACATCGATTGGAGAAGGTAAGAAGTGTCGGTGAGGACGCAACACTGGGTCCCGAAGGGGGGTGGATTGTAAGATCCCATATCGGTTAGAAAGGGAAACGAAACATTCTTTATAAGGGTGTAGAAACCCTTCCCTAGCAAATGCGTTTTAAAAACCTTGAAGAGAAGCCCGAAAGAGAAACCCCAAAGAGAACAATATCTACTAGCGGTGGCCTTGGACGGTTACATCCATGTTTTAGAAATCTAAGCATCTAGCTTATTATTTTGAAAGAATCAACCTACGCTAACCATATTTTCCCTAAACCACCACTCCAAAACTTGCGTAAAGTTTCTCGAAGATGATACGATAGCGCATGTAAAGGCTTGAATCAAAAACCATACAAAATTAACAGTCATTTAGATTTACCTGAAGATCTTATCCAGTAGGGTATCTTCCATTGGTTTACGAGAGAATATCTTGTAAGTCATATCGTTATCATCATGTTGCTTAAGAACAGAAATACTCGAAAATTGAACATCCTCAGTTTCTGTTGTACCCACCAACTTCGGAATTTTCGATGAAGCTTTCAAGCCGAAGTACCCCTTTGCGCATAAAAGAGAATCAAAAGAAACAAGACGTCAGAGAACTTAAAAAGAATGAATATAAACAATTGGAAACTATAGAACCATTCAAAGCCTCAAGTACACTCACAGGATTTAAGAGGCCCCTGACAAATGTTGTATGAGTATGCTGCAGTTCTCTCTTAGGAATTATAATCGGAGGTGTAAACTGAATGTTCTGTTCATCTAGAGGAGTAGCTACTACAGTAATTTCACAGGAATAACTGTTTCCCTTGTTAGATTTAACCTCATAATATTCACCTAGGTAAGAGATGGACTCGATTTCCTCTTGCAAATGTAATGTGCTATCTGAATGATTTATTAGTCTAGCAGCTATCTGCCAGTTACCACCTTCAACTGCCCACAACCCTCCGCCTGATCCTGCCAACGAAACTGCCCCAGCAAGTCCACTAATAGAGACACTTTGACCATAGTTAATTCTTGTGATAACCTGCACAGATCAACCAATAACATTTTTTCTAAAATCGCATAAATTGTTCCATCTAATGAAACAAAAAAGTGTACATCTCTAAAATGGAGGGGGCAAGGGCAAAAACGATCTCGAGTAACAAGCCTACATCGTTTAAAAGTTAAACCACGGTTCGAGTTTTATACCATTAGGTACTTGATTAAGAAATATAGTAAGCTGAGATCCAAGAAAATATTATAATTAAAATTAAAAATTGGCAAAAAAATAATACAATACTTGAGAATGGGCTAGGACTCAGAAATTATCAACTTCATAACCACTTGCTCTATAAGAACAAAATATATGTATATGTATTTCCACATTCTGCACCTCTAAATTTAATGATATTTGAGCTTGAATTGGTAAACAAGAAATCAACATAATTTTTACGTTTTAAGCAGTCTCAAGATGGTAAACTTTAAGAAACAAATACAGAGATGGAATAATTCTTTCCAGCGAGCCATGTTCATCAATGCTTCTAACTTGATTTGTGTGACATGTGAATAACTAGTTACATGGAACAAAATAAATGATAGAAGTATTTGTACTCTACATCAAAGGTTGAATGAACAATGAAAGTATTTGGTATCAACAATGCCAAGTTTTGAAATTGACAAAAACCTACGAATAAATATATTCTTAGATATACTCGATATTCTATCAAAAGTGATGTGATCATATTACTACTGACACCATAATAGCTTGGTGCTTTTTCTAACCTTGAGTAACTTTGAGATGGCTTTTGGGAAAATGCTTATAAGTAAGCACTTCTTCTCTAAGCACTAGTAAGAGAACATGAATAGTATGTTTAGGAGTGATTTTGAAATGGTTAAAATCACTTCTTTACGTTCAAAATCATTCTGAAACCTACTTTTAATCATGTTAACTCGGTTTAATGCTTGGTTTTACATTTTTAAATGTCATTTTCATGCTATCAAAATTAAATTTGAATGATTGAAGACATGTTTTGAAATTATTTTAAACATTTCAAAACTGATTATAATTTTAAAATCACTACTAAACATGCCCCCAATTAAGTGACTCCAAATAAAAGAACTTCAAAAGTACACTTACGTTTAGAATCTCAAAGTCACTTTTGATCACCAAATCAAACACCATGAAAATTTGAAAATGGGCTTGCCTCCTCATTCCCTTTTACCTCTCTTTTACCTCTGCCATGATAGTTTCCCGATCGGAGATCCATGGATCACAGACAGTATCTCCGTTCTAAAAGGTTCCATCCAAAAACCAGTTAGAGGTTCCCCACTCTTCTTTGATCCGTTTTAGGGCCGCCCATTATATTGGTCTCACAATTCCATTACCTATAGGAACTTCTTTGTTTTCGCTTTCACTCCTCAATGGACTCCTAACGTATATGAAGGAGTGTGGTTCATTCGCGAAAAAGGGAGACCACCTTCTAAGCCTAAGTATTCCTCTTTCTTTTGAAAAGCACTTGTATCTTTCCAAAGGTGCATTGACCCTGTCAAAGTGATGCGCCAACGTATGCGTTGAGTCAAAACTCGGTTTCAATCCTAATTCAACATTACGGAACCTGAATTTGAGAATCCGGTGCGGAAGAGACTAGAGGGAACTCAAAGCCCTATCCGTACCCGATCTCGGTCTCGGAGCGGTCAAAAGAGTCGGAGGGGGAGCTGCCACTAGTTCTCACCCCCAACAAACACTAGTACGGTCAGCACGACAACCTCGGAATCAGTCATACTTTGCCTTA